GTTTGCCCCCCCACCCCACAATTTACTTGTGCTTATTATTCATTCCGAGTTACGGCTACAAACAGAAGTAAATAACAAAATCAATAGCAACCAATTCTATTGTCCCCTCAAATCAACGTTACTTAATTTCAGCTGTGCCTTGCCTGTTAAGCCACAAGCAACAGGTCAGGACAGGTAAAGCCAAACAACACATCAAAGCTTGCCCCAGGTGCGTTTTAGGCTGGGTAGGATGGCCCTGCAAGAGAAAAGGGCTTAAGGTGTAGCCCACTCATAAGGGATGGCATGGAAGAGAGAGCCTTCCAGGTGGTGGGTGGAGTGAGATGTTAAACAATTACAGATTGTGTGGCTTAGTATTGAGCTTGGAGGAGAGAAGCACACAGTTGACAAACAAAAAGAGCAAACTGAGAAAGAAATTGTGTAGTGGAGAAGAAAGGCTTGCTAGTGTGCGTATTAGTGTTGTTGTTGTTTAGTCATTTAGTCGTGTCTGACTCTTTGTGACCAGAGCACGCCAGACACTCCTGTCTTCCACTGCCTCCCGCAGTTTGGTCAAACTCATGCTGGTAGCTTCGAGAATACTGTCCAACCATCTCGTCCTCTGTCGTCCCCTTCTCCTTGTGCCCTCCATCTTTCCCAACATCAGGGTCTTTTCCAGGGAGTCTTCTCTTCTCATGAGGTGGCCAAAGTATTGGAGCCTCAGCTTCAGGATCTGTCCTTCCAGTGAGCACTCAGGGCTGATTTTCTTGCAGTCCATGCAAATACATTTATTTATTTATTTATTTATTTATTTAAAAAACCCGACACGAGTCCAGCAATGGTTTAGAAGTGATACCCTACTGTAATGCTAAAGAAGCTGAAGACCATAAATATAAACTAGACATGCAGTGTAAACTTCTCCTCTTCAGGATGCTTCATTCCATCCCATCTCCCACCCAGTTTTTCACCCTCCTCCTTGCACAGCTAACTTTCTATAGCCACTGAGCACACTCAGGTTTCTTTTCGTTGTTTGTGATCCTTTCTTCCCTTTTTGTTTTCCCCTTGGAGTTTACACACACACACACACACACACACACACACACACACGGGTGCCAACTCAAATAAAATTATGGGGGGGGGGCAGGTAAGCATCGCCCCGCATAATCAATCACAAGATCCAATGCATGCACACTATTTAAATGGCATTTCCCATCAAATTTTGGAGGCCCTGTCCCCCTCAAATATTTAAGGGGGGGCCAAAGGACTTTAGTCCCTATGAGTTGGCTCCTGTGTGTGTGTGTGTGTATACAACACACACACACACACACACACACTCTTCTGCAAATATATGGTCTCTTGTCTTCCCCATTCCTTTGGTACTTTCCTCTACTGTGTGGATGGGGCTGTTTAAGCTACATAGTGCCATAGCCAAATATAAAGTTAATGCCAGTGCAATGACTTTTAGCAGTTCCATGTAACTTTCCTGCCCTCTCCTCCCCATGCTGGCATGGTTCTACAGCAGCTGCTATCTTGTTTCTTCCCCCAAAGTGTTCTGAAGCCACCACTGATCATGGGTGCTAAAGAGCTGTCTGACCCAGTGTTAATAGTATGGAGACAAGTCCATTAATTTCTTTATTTTCTTTTTAAAAAATCTTCTTTAAAAATTGAAATCTTAGTGTCAGCCCCAGTGGGTCCTATGGAACCAGTAGACCTCAGAATTTGCTTTACCTGCCAGAAATTGACTGAGGGTCTTCCAGCAGGTATGTTCCCTCTGTCTTCTCATGTGTTCATTAAATGCATAAGGGAGTTTGCACGAACACCCCTGTAATGCACTGGAAATATGTGATTTCCTTATCACAGGGCTTCCTCCCGAAAGAAAGGAGATGGATCTCCTTTCAGCAACGAAGAACCCAGCATGCCTTCAGTATTTGTTAACACTGATTGTCTTGAGTTGGCTGCAATTTAGAACTTAACTGCACTTTCCCCTTTCTGCAGAACAGACTTCTAGTGGCTTCTAAAACCACAAGGAAAGGTTCATTGTTCTGGGCAAAACAGAATTTGGAAGTAGAGCCAGCCAAACTGCACAAGAAGATGCTTGGAGCAGAAGTGTCTCTGGGTGTTCCAGTGAAGTAGTGATCCACCAGATTTCCTGCTGTGTCACATAGGATGCTAGGCTCCCTCTAGTCTGGGTCATACAGTGATGTGGTATGAGCTACTGAAATGTCATGGCTCTATTTGCACTGCAATATGAAGATCTAAAACCCAAACGTAAGCAATAACAACATGGGTATTTGTTGTTCTTGTTTAGTCGTTTAGTCGTGTCCGACTCTTCTTGACCCCATGGACCAGAGCACGCCAGGCACTCCTGTCTTCTACTGCCTCCCACAGTTTGGTCAAACTCATGCTGGTAGCTTCGAGAACACTATCCAACCATCTCGTCCTCTGTCACTCCCTTCTCCTTGTGCCCTCCATCTTTCCCAACATCAGGGTCTTTTCCAGGAAGTCTTCTCTTCTCATGAGGTGGACAAAGTATTGGAGCCTCAGCTTCAGGGTCTGTCCTTCCAGTGAGCACTCAGCGCTGATTTCCTTAAGAATGGATACGTTTGATCTTCTTGCAGTCCATGGGACTCTCAAGAGTCTTCTCCAGCACCATAATTCAAAAGTATCAATTCTTCGGCGATCAGCCTTCTTTATGGTCCAGCTCTCACTTCCATATATCACTACTGGAAAACCATAGCTTTAACTATACGGACCTTTGTTGGCAAGGTGATGTCTCTGCTTTTTAGGATGCTGTCTAGGTTTGTCATTGCTTTTCTCCCAAGAAGCAGGCGTCTTTTAATTCTGTGACTGCTATTACCATCTGCAGTGATCATGGAGCCCAAGAAAGTAAAATCTCTCACTACCTCCATTTCTTCCCCTTCTATTTGCCAGGAGGTGATGGGACCAGTGGCCATGGTCTTAGTTTTTTTTTGATGTTGAGCTTCAGACCATAACGGTCTGAACATGGGTATTACTTCCCCTCCATTTAATACTACTTTGGGATTAGGGGTGGCAGTGGCGGGGGGGTTGATGTCTTTGGGTCCTTTTCAAACAAATGCTGTTCAGTGAGTTTGTTTAGGTTGCAGCTGGGGGGGGGGGGAATATTGTAGGAACCATAAGAATGTACTTCATTCCTTGCCCCATTTTATCAACAGCAGCAATCCTTGTCAAATGAACCAGAAATTCTGTGTTACTCCCTCTGATATTAATTTAGCCAAGCCAGAGAATTTTTGACATTTCTTATCAGTATATGCCAGAGTCTGGTCTGGAATTTGGGGATTGCTCCAGAAATAGACATCCTTACTTCTTTATCATTTTTGTATTTCTGTATGCTCACGTTTGCGCCAACATTTTTTAGCAAACATTTGTGTATGTGCGAATACACATATAAATATATACCCATTTAAATATAGATGTGTACATTGAAAGTAAATAGATATCCTTGCCATTATTTCACTGCTGCATTATTTTCATTACTGCAGTTCTGCACAACCTGCCACCTGTTTATATATGTAGAGACAAAGACTGCAGATTTTCATTCTCCTGCTATAATATAATAGTTGGTTTGTTTTGCCTGGAAGCAAGAAGAAATACTAGGAGCTTAGCTATTAGGGGAAGAGGGATTTTATTTAATTTGTTTATAAACTTATCCAAGAAGCATTGTCCGGCCTCTGAAGAGCTCAACACTTGCCCACACAGGGAGCTGCCTTATGCCATGGCAGAGCACTGAACCATCTAGTTCAGCATTGTTCCTAGAGCAGACAGCAGCTCTCCAGGGTTTCAGGAGAAAATATTTCCTAGCTCTGTCTGGAGATGCAGCAGATTGAACCTGTCACTTTCTGTATGCAAATAATGTGCTCTACCACCGAGCTGCAGCTATTTCCCTGCAAATTCCACATTTGCACAAACACACCATTCAAACCGTTTATCCTCATATATATTGAGGATATAGCCACTCATGGGGGCTTCTCAAAGATTCAAACCTCAGTCTTCTCAAAGCCGAAGAGATCATAATGTCTCTAGCCTGACTTGATTACTTATCACACACATATTTTCAAAAAAAATCACCGAAAGATCACTTCTGACACTGCTGAAAACGTCCACAAAAAGTGTCCCAATTTGGCTGAGCCCTATGAGTTTACAGTATGCCCTGTGCTTGCCTGGCCCCCTCCTCAAAAATGGGGGGGGGCTTGGCTCCTCCCCTTCCTCCCCCACCCCCAATGCCACCCCGGTGTAGGGAACATTCATTCCTTCAATTTTCATCTGCAGCCTGAAGTGGTGCAATGCAGGAAATGTTTTGTCATGGGGTGTGTTACTTTCGTCTGCATTACCCAGCTTGAACTGTGGCCTGCCCCAGTAAGGGACGCTCAGCTAAAGCTGCAATTCTGTAATCAAGAGGGGAACATGGTAGCTATGCATGATACTGTGGAAAAAGTGGATTGGGAGCAGCTCCGCTCCATTTCTCGTAGCACTATGACCAAGGACCATCCAATGAAGCTGAATGATGGGATGTTCAGGGCAGACAAAAGGAAGTGCAGACCACATAGGCACCTTTGTTTCCATGAGGTATAGTGATGGCCATCAACTTGGATGGTTTTAAAAGGGATTTAGGCAAATGAATGGAGGATGAGGCTATCAGTGGCCATGGGTATATTAATTACTCCCAGCAGGGGCAGATCTTGGTAATATTTTGCCCTGTGCAAGGTCATTTGACACAAGCTTGAGTGGGACACAGGTTGAGTGGGAAGGCGGCGTGAGGCTCTGGAAGGGTCCTAGAGCCCTCCTACCTCCTCACAAAGCCCAGTAAGCACTTGTCTGGCTTCAGAAAGGAGGAGGGAGGACTCTGGGACCTTGTCAGAGCCCTTACACGTCCTTCTTGAAGCCAGACAAGCACATCTTAAGCTTTAAAAAGGCACACTTCTCAGCTGCACACCCAGTGCAATCGCACCTCTCGCACTGCTCTAAATCCACCTCTGAGGTGGCTTCCTAAAATGGCGACGAAGGTAGCGGCTTAGTAAAGGCGTCTGCCTTTAGATTAAGTTTTAAGTAGTTTTAAGTAGTTATTTTAACCCCCCTCTGGGTTTTTATTGTTTTATTGTTTTTAGACTAAGTTTCAAGTAGTTCTAAGTAGTTTCTTTTAACCCCTCTGGGCTTTTATTGCTTTATTGTTTTATTACCTGCTTCGTGCTTCAGCCTTGCTGCCTTGCCGCACCCCCCGCTGTGCATTTGGTGCTGAGGAGCTGAGTAATCTTCTGAGACGAGTGAGTGGGGAAGGGAAGAGGTCTGGTTGACTCCCCTGCCGTGAAGGGATTCCCCGTCACTGGAAAGGAGAGGGCTCCACCAGGGAAACATACTGAGAGCCAGCGCTCGCTGATGAGCTAAGCAGGAGAAAGCTGCAGATTCATCCCTACTCATCCATTGGCCCTGCTAATTAGGCAGAAACACTGGGGGACAACTGGTTTTCTAATAGGAAGACAACTATCCAACATGGTCCTCACTAGAAAGTTGTGTAAGGAGTTGGGTATCTTGCCAGATACGCCACTTAGCCCCCCGGGACCTGGAAAGAGACAAAGTAAAATTATAAATTACTTCTCCAAGAGGGAGGAATGCATGAGTGAACAAATTGAACCAATTATTGACGAAGTCACTCCTCTCCCCTTACTTACCTTGACCGGTCACATTACTTCAAAGAGCTTCAACACAACTCTGGAAACACAAATTCCCCAAGAAGCCTGGCGCAAGAGCTAGTTCTAGCTGAGAAACCTGTGGAAAATATTTCTGTCACCTATAACCAGCGGCCCCTGGCAGAATTAACAACATGCCACCAAGACCAGGCGCCCACTTCCAAATATACTCAAACTGAACTGAGTGATGGCCATCTTCAGGCCCATTTCCAAGATATAAATATAGACCTTTCCAACATAAAAAATTACTTGACAATAACAAATGGGTTATTGCTGACCCTTGTGGAAAATTTTATTCCCCAACCAAAAGAGACAACAGCAACCGATGCACCCCAAGTGCATAAACCAGATGAACTTGTGCATAACCCAGATGAACTAGTGAAGATGAGACAAGCAGTAACAACCAAGAAATTGCAAAAAAATAGATCAAAAGTCCGGGAAAAGAAAACTAAGAACATTAAAACAACAAGGAAAATAAAGATAAGCCGACATAAACAATGGCAGAAATTATTTAATCTACTCCCATTGGACTCAAATAAATCTGCTGCACGAGATAAAAAAGAGAATGGCAGGAAGGGAAAAAGAAGCCATCGCCAAAGCTAATGGCTAAGGTGGCATCTCTGAACCAGAATTCAGAACTAAGTGGGAGGACGGAAGCAACGTCCCAGAGTTCTGGTAACAGTTCACTCAGCGAACCAGATTCTGGGGGAGAAGTGGTCCCTAACAATGAAGGCAGCAAACCGCTTAGCAAATCGGGAAATGGGGACGATGCAATGCCCAATCGCGATGACAACACTATACAAGATGGGCAAACCTTTATTCAGGCAAGATGTTGGAACCTGATTTTAAATCCCTCAATATTAGTATTTACAAACTTCCCAAAATCAAAGGGCTTCCTTACAGGGAAAGAACGAAGAATGAGCTCCTTGAACGTTCTGAATGATATATTGCCAGGAGCAGTAAAGCCATATGACATTATTTCTGTAGATTATTTGCATCATGATGGTTGTTCAATGAGAGCAATGATCACATTTAGAGACCAGAACCTGGCCAAGTTTATCTACAGATCAAGATATATATTCTTAAAGGCCCAGATAAAAATTCTCAGATTTTTTGAAAACAAGGCACCACCGAATCCCCTTCTGGAAGCCAAGCACGCAAACCCTAGTAAGGAGAAACAACCTTCCAAAACTCGGCCTGGTCTCCAGAAACGAGAGCTTCAAAAATTAAAAAGGAAAGATGCCCACCTGCAAGACCTGCAACTTCAAGAGAATGAAGATGAGGATCTTTTTTCCGCGGAAGAAAATACCTTAATTAGGCAATTTCGCCATTTTCCATCTCCAATACAAGCTGAAATATTAGAAAGATTGGATATGCTAAGAATTAAGCTGGCTGGGAGAGATACAAACAAGGAAATCAATATGGACGCCCTTATAAAGGACCAGACTTCCTATAATTTGAACCCTACACAAGAACCAAACCCAGCGGCCTGTCGGCCATGTTACCTTCAGACAATGGCTGAGATTAATTTACTCCCAATTAAGGAAGCCCAGCACACTGAAGAGAACACTACACCACCTCCAATAAAGAGAACCATCCCGAAGGTGAATTCACCAGGCTCTTGGGACAAGCTGAGGTATCTAGATGAGGCGGAATTAGGCCACAATCAGGTTCCGGAAAAACACCTACGGAAAGAGATAACACACTTCAAAGGCCCGGTGACCACTAATGTCAGTATTCAACAGTTAACAGCCGAAACTATAGAACATTTGGCTAGTTTGCCATGTATGGAGAGCAATGGGCCGGCTCATAAAAAAGTAATCCCTAAAAGCACCTTGGGAAATAATTGACAAAGATTAGACCAGAGACAAACACCAGCCGGCTCCCTATCTCCGCGGAAATCCGATATCATTAGATACGAACAGACTCAACCCTCACTCACAAATCAAGCAAAAGCAGTTGTTTCCTTGAAAGACGCACCCAACCTACCCCAGAGCCTTAAAATTGTCTCCTGGAATGTTAACGGCTGGGCGACAAAGCAAATGGATCCTGAAGCAATGAATCTCATCTCTTCTTTCGACATTGTATGCCTCCAAGAGACCTGGTCCCAACAAAGTATTGTTCTCCCAAATTATTGCTCCTTTAGCTCCTGTGCTCGTAAACTAACCAACAGGGGTCGCCCCCAAGTTGGCCTCGCCTGTCTTATTTCAACCAGCTTACCCCTCACTATTTGCGAGGAAATTAAATCTTCCCCTTACTTTCTCACCATAAAGATTCATCTCCCAAAGACCAAAAGCCCATGGTTGATAACTACAGTATATCTGCCCCCAGCAATTAATGATTTCGACCGCAATGAAAGGTGGTCTGAACTTTCGTCTTGGCTCCATGATCTCCAAACAACTAACCCAGGACTCCCTCAAATCCTCTTAGGCGACTTTAATGCAAGAATAGGTCCCAACGACGATGATATAATATCTCCCGCAGCACTCCTGGACAATCCCCTGCAGCCCCCCTGGGGAAACAGATGCTCTCTTGATCCTATAACAAATGCGTCGGGAGGCTGATGGCCCAACTGGCCATGGAAAACGATCTCTGCATCGCAAATGGTAACATTACTCCCTTGTCCTCGCAGCAATTAACGTGCATCACTTCCCGGGGAACCAGTGTTGTCGACTACATTTTATTGACGCCGGAGCTATTCTCAATTTCTACAAAAATGGAAGTGGCTGAATATTTTGGTGGTGACCACCTTCCATTGACTCTAATGTTAAACCTAATAGAGCCACTCCCAGTCTCCTCAAACTATAGAACCATGGTACAAAGCCACCCTGTATACAAAACAAAGAAATGGACAAGCCTCAGCTCCTCTCTTGCCCTGGACATACAAAAATCATTTGATATGTCTGCAGTTCCCTCTGATCCAATCCTGCCCGCTGACCAATACCGGAAATTACTTGATGCTTTCTCAACAACTTACATAACCACCACCTCGCCTACTTACCAACGCCTCTTCTCTGAATCGCCCTGGTTTGACAAGGAATGTAAAGCCCTAAGAAGGCGAATTAGGAAAATGGTCAGAATCATCAAATCTTCCAACGACCCCCAAACCCGTGCAAAGCTCATAGATATTAAAAGGACATATAGAAACATGATTCATTGCAAGAAACAGCAGTACATCTTTGAGGCTTGGTCCACTCTTCGTTCGGCTGTAGAGAGGCATGACTCCCGCTCCTTCTGGCGCCTAGTTAGACCTTCGGCACCATTCAATCCAGCTACCCAGATTTCCGCGGATGAATGGATTGCTTATTATTCAACTAGTTTCGCTTCTCCAAACCATCTTACAGATCTCCTTCAATCCCCATTGGACCTCAGTTCCTGCTCTCTTAGTCCCACTTCTTCAATAAACTTTACTTCAACTCGCATTTTCAACATCATAATGTCAATGCAAAGGAATAAGGCCCCCGGCCCAGACATGGTCCCGTTGGACCTTTTCCTGACTGATCCTCTTTGGTGGAGCGAACACCTGACTCCTGTATTCACCGCTATCTCCTCCGCCCTAGACATCCCCGACTCCTGGAGAGAAGCTATAATAGTTCCGATCTTCAAAGGCGGCCAGCCAAACATCCCTAGGAACTATCGCCCCATCAGCTTATTATCCATCCCGGGAAAATATTTGCCGCTGTTTTACTGGAGGAACTTCTCTCATGGGTCCAGGAGAGGAACATTCTACCGCTAGAACAGATTGGTTTCCGAAAGTCAGCGTCAACCATGGACCATTGTCTAACTCTCTTTCACCTTGCCAGTAAATACACTGCTCCAAGGCAAGGCCACCTATTTGCCGCTTTCATGGACCTGGAGGCCGCCTTTGATTCCATTCCTAGGCAGAGATTATGGTCCAAACTTGCCCATCTGGGAATTGATCCGCACCTTCTCTCCCTAATTATCTCCCTTTATTCAAACACCACAGCTCGCGTCCGAACTAGTCCAAACGGCTCCCCCACTACTCCATTTCCAACGGCCAAGGGCGTCCGACAAGGTTGCCTCTTGGCCCCTTTACTGTTTAATCTCTATCTTCATGATGCAATTTCCACTTTGAAGCTAGCATCTAAGTATCCTCCTCACTTAGCAGGCCACCCCGTTGCTTCCCTTTTCTATGCTGATGATGCCGTCATCTTATCCAGAACAGCTGCGGATCTAGCAAATGCAGTTAATGCATTTATCGCCTATTGTAAGGCGGAAGCTCTTAATATTAATTATAAAAATCGAAAGTCCTCCACTTCACTCGTTCCCGCAAACTCAAGTTGGAGCCGCTTAAGATCACAGGTGGCTACTTAGAAAAGGTAAAAGCCTTTAAATATTTAGGATTAATATTCACCTATAATCTCTCCTGGACCACCCATCTACAATCTGCCTTTCTCGCTGCAACCACGACCTCTAACGCCATTGTCCGATTTTACCACCAGAAGGGCGGCAAACACCTTCCAGCAGCAATTCAAATATTTAATGCCAAAGTCGTCCCTAAATTATTATATGGATGTGAAGTATGGACTACAGCAATATCAGGTAACCTGGATCGTCCACTTCATATGTTTCTGAGATCTCTTTCCGGCGTCCCGAGATGTGTCTCAGGTGCAGCCCTACGACTCGAGTTCGCCCAGCCTTCAATTGCTAGACGAGCATGGAGCCGAGCCATTTCCTACACCCTCCACCTATTAGCATCGGATGCTCGAATTAGAGGTGGCTTTTCCAATCTGATCCTAAGAGATATTCATAATTCCCCTTGGAAAACTACAATTAACCTCAAATTCCGCTCTCTTCTCAATCTGAATTGTAAAACTGTTCTTAACTTAGAGTGTATCAGCCCGGTGGCCCTACCCCTAATTAAAAAGAAACTACAGCAACTTGACTTCTCCAACACAGCTTCTTGTGCAAGAGGACCGTGTTCAGGCCTAGCCCTAGCTATTCCACCCCCTGAAGGGATCCCTCTATACTGCTTCACAATTTCTTCGGAGACTAAGCGAAGGGCTTTTACCTGTGCCCGTCTCAACTGTTTTCCTACAGCAGTTCTGTCGGGTCGTTATTCCAGAGTTCCCATCGCAAACAGAACATGCTCCTGTAATGACACGGCCCTGGAGACTATGGAACATGTAATGCTCTTCTGTCCCAACTGGACAGATGAAAGATCTCGGTTTTTAACTCCCCTCGTGAATAAGTTCCATCTCCCAATCCAGCCTTGGATAGTGTCCCTCTTTTTGCAGGATTCTGATTGTTGGATTACTGAGATGACAGCTAATTTCCTGCTTAGTGTGATGAAGAGGAAAGCGGCACTAACTTCTTCCTTAACACCACAGATGCAGTCGATACGCCGCACAACCGAACGAAGTTCCAAGTAGCCTTATTGTACAAGGACAATCGAGTTAGGACTAATCTGAGGAGCTGAAGGACCCTTTAACGGTCCT